TGCTTTTTGATTTTGTTTTTCTTTTATTCTGTTTTGTTTTTCTCATTTGCCTGTTTGCTTTCTAAAGATAAAAAGAGAGAACAGAGTTTTATGGGTGGGGATGGGGGAAGATCTGGGAGAAGATGGGGGGGTCAGAACACATTGTATGAAAATTATTTTCATTTAAAATTAAAATACGGCACATATATTACTTACACATATAACCCTTCATTTTATACCATGTAACAAGCACTCTCCTACACTCCTACATATATTAACTTATTAAATTCTCACTCCAATCCTATAAAGTCTTAATTATCATTTAATTTTCAGATGGGGAAACTGAGCCTCAGAGGTTAAGCTTCCAAGCATATAGTCAGTAAGCTGAAGAACTCACAATCAGAGACAGTCTAGTTCCAAAATCCAGGAATCAAGTCACCTACCACAGCTTTCACAAGTCTAAATGTGAGTGGCAGTGTGAATAGAGAATGAAAACGGGAATGGAGTGAATCTGAGATGGGGAAAGGAGGAAAGGACCCTTGATTTTGTGTATGTTGTTTCAACAGGTACCAAGAACATGAGCCATGGGACAGTCCAATTGGTCATATGAAATATGAAATCATAGTGAAGGCAGGATTGATGTGAGAGTTGTCAGGATAATGATGATACTGAAGCCCAGGAAATGAGGACAGTCACTCAAAGGGACTACAATGAGGGTCTAGTTGGCTAACTGAAGCAAAGGGATTCAAGGAACATAGGGAAATGACACTGAATGAAGACACCATGCTGTGGAATAATCCTCCTGTACACTGTGTTAATATGTCGATATGGCTGGTTTAGTAAACAAGCTGACTGGCCAATAGCTGAACAGGATAAAGTTAGGTGGGAGAGCCAGACTGAGAATAAGATTAGGAAGGCAGAGTTGCCAGCAGACACAGAGAAGCAAGAAGGGCATGCCGGAGTGAGAAAAAGTACCAAGACAGGGCAAAGCATAGATAAGAAATATGGGTTAACTTGAGTCAAAAAGTTAGCTACTAATAAGCCAAAGCTACCGGCCAAGCATTTACAATGCATATTCAGCCTCTGTATTGGTTATTTGGGACTGGGATTGGGACAGGAAACATACAAACACAACACTGAAAACTTTGCGTGATTAGGAGAACCAGGCAACCCTATATATTGTTGTGGATCATAAGCTGGTATCATTTATTTATAGAAGTTTGGCAATATCTAGTAAAATATAAATTCCCCATCCAATCAGCAATTTTACTTATGATATATCTACAACTGTCCTCTTCAAAAACTAAAAAATTTGTGTATGAGTGTTCACTTCAGACTTGTTTGATAAGGAAAAGGGAGGTGAGAGGAATGAACAATTCAAATGTTGGCCACATTGTGTGGCATACTCCACAGTCATACCACTTTTTCCAAAATCCAATGAATACTACGTGGCCATGAACAAGTACAAGGTGGATCTCCAGAGGCTGGTCATGGAAGCCACTGCGTTGTTGAAATTTTCATCACTGCAATGGTGAAACACCTAACACGGGCTACTTTAAAAAAAAAAGGTTTAATTCGTCCTAATTTTGGAGGTTGAAAGTGCAAGACCAGACAGCCCCACTGGACTGGCCTCTGGTGAGGGCAGATGGCACAGCATGACTGAGAGACAGAAGAAAGGACTCACAGCCCAAACAAAGCCAAGGTCAGACTTTCAGAGCAAGCCTCACCAGCACCACCAAGGAGTTCCATGACAACAAGCTCCCTGGGTGTGTCCCCAGCGATCTAAGGCCCTCTCACTAAGACCTCACCTCCAGAGGTCCCACCACATGCCCACAGTGCCACCCTGTGGACCAAGCCTTCATTCACAGTAGACTTGGCAGACACCCAAATCACAGCAATTACCAAGACAAGACACCTGCAGAAGAAACGGATGCAGAAGAGTAAAATACAGTCTTCCGTTAGTATAAGACACAGGCCTTCTGCGCCCCTTCCTCCTTAACTGAAAGACAAATATAAGACAGAATCTCAGGAAATCCTCCAAGCCTTGGGATGGAGGCAGAAAAGTTCCAGGGAATCAGGGAGGTCAAGGGGGCACCTAGTAGGCAGCAATCAGCAAAGCAATCTCCCTCCTCCATGGTTTAAATACAGGCCGTGACCTCAACTAAATGCATAGCAAAGGAGACAACATAAATGCTCTCAAGAAAGAGGAGGATGAGTGATGTAAGTCCTGCTCTAGGAGAAGGCCAAGACTCTCAGGGGACAGAAGCAGGTAGACCTCTGAGAGTTCAAGGCCATCCTACTCTACACAAGAGTTCCAAGGGAGAACTACATAGTGAGACCCTGTCTCAAAAGAAAACTTCGATAATTCATGGATAACTTAAAGTGATTGAGGTACTTAGGTATAATGACCCACTGACATACATAACTTCCTCAAACCCAAACTGACTTCCATGTGCCAGCCCTTCACTGTGGACCCCTACAGATGCCAGCTACAGAGCCCTTCAGGAACAAACGAAGTAGAATATATCTCTCACTATCCCTGCAAAGAAGGTAAGGTTGGCCTCTGACTAACAATTTAGCATAATTTATAATCTTTAGTAGAGTGGGGGCAGGGTACCATTTGGCCTGCTTCTAATCTAAATCAGAATGATGGCAAGCTTCTCTTCAGAGGACTGCAGCAATCTCCCAGCAAGGTCACCCACCCAGAGCTAGTTTGGCAACAGAAAGTCAGAAAAGGAAAGAGGGCTCAAAGGTGCTGCTGTCTAACTGCTCTCAGCTTTCTCGAAATCCAAAGTGTCTTCAGAGAAAACGAGCTTCAGCTTTTGGGGAAAAGGACTATACAATAACAAATTTTAGCTTTCCATGGCATAACACATATTTTTCTGAAAGACAAGTTATTTGAGACTGTTTCAAAACATTCATTGTATTTTACCTTTCATATTTGGAGAAAATTATAAGGTCAAAAATATCACAAATTAGGACAAATATGTAGTCAGAATTCTTACATTTTTATTTGTTTTGACCATGCAAAAATTAGTAGTTTTTGGAGCCAGGTGTTGGTGGCGCATGCCTTTAATCCCAGCACTCGGGAGGCAGACGCAGGTGGACCTCTGTGAGCTCGAGGCCAGCCTGGTCTACAAAGGAAGTTCCAGGACAGCCTCCAAAACAATACAGAGAAACCCTGTCTCAAAAAAAAAAAAAAGTAGTTTTCAACTTATACATTAAACACAAATGTAACACATGGAAGGCACTCAAATTACTATTTTTTTTTAAATCACTGGCTACCCATTAGTCAGGGGCCACCCTGATCTAACAAACTGATCAGAGTGGCAAAATACATGGTCTAGAAAGAACCTAGAAGGGACTGAAAGAGATGAACTGGTGTTTAAGAGCATTTGCTGCTCTTCCAGGAGTCAAGTTTAGTCCCCAGCTCTCTCATCTGGTTGTTCACAAAGGCCTGTAACTCCAGCTCCAAGGGATCCAAGGCTCTAAGGACTAACACACATATACATGTGAGATTTACTCACACCGGCACAGACACTCATGAATGAGTGTTTTTAAAAATAAATCTTAAAAAAAAGTAGCAGGCTATGGGAGGGCAAGATGCTGGCCCAGAGTAACAATGGGGACTTCGTACAGGTTGCACACAGTATACCAGCCATGGGTCCCTGCAGCTCCCATAAAGAGACATGCCTCTTCTCTGCCTCTCTTCTGAACTTTCTGGTGCTTTTTAGTAGTTTACACCTCTTCATCTTTCAAAAAAAGAAAGCTTACATTTCAATTTGGCAAGAAACTATAACAATCCCAGCTAATATATTCATTCACCCCGTATTCAATCCTACTTCCCTTAAAAGTGCATTGTCACTCTATTTTATAACAGACTTACTTACAAAGGTAAAGTCTTAGAAACAACCAACTTCCCTATTCTTTTTAAACAATTACCAAAGAAGGGCAAAGTACATGACGGCTCCATAAGCAAAATCCTAGGCAATGATCTTCAAAACGTGATTTTCATTTTATTTATTTTTCAGTTTGTTGGTTTGAAACAACCATTGTACTGGTTGTCTGAGCCCAGGCCAGTCTCAAACTCTGTATCCAACTCTGGCATTAAACTTCTGGTTCTCCTGTCCCTGCATCCCAAGTGCTGAAGTTACAGGAATGTGCCACCACACCTAGCAAGAACACTCAGTGCCGAGTCCACCAATATGAGCCAGAGGAAAGGGGCTAAGTGCAGCATAATTCATTAACATTCGCTGGTAATTATTGCCAGCAAATTGTTGGGACTTTTGTCTTACGTGTGAAATGACAGGGCAAGGTGAGCTCAACATGGACAAGGAGCTATGGTAGAAAAGTCTCAGAAGCTAACAGTAGAAACTGATCATAAACATAGCAATGGCAGCAGCTGGTACATCACAGGGTTCCAATGATTCGCCAAAATTAAATCTTATAATTAAAAGACTGACGGGAAACTGCCTGTAATAAAATATCTTATAGTATTCGTATCACTGACAAGCATATGCCTACCTCAGTCTTAACATGATGATGGAATAGTAAGCCTGATACAGAAATTAAAGTGCTCACAGTAAGCATGAGAAACAAGTCTATAATTTTTTTTTCTGGTTAGAATTTCAAAGCAGAGTACACTTGTTAAGGTGTAACACACCTGTATGTGTATTTTTTTTTTTTTTGGTTTTTCTGAGACAGGGTTTCTCTGTATTGTTTTGGAGGCTGTCAGTCCAGCCCAGCCTCGAACTCACAGAGATCCACCTGCCTCTGCCTCCCGAGTGCTGGGATTAAAGGCGTGCGCCACCACTGCCCGGCGTGTATGTGTATTTTTAGTAAGTATAACTTGGCTTCTTGAACACCTACGCGTGCTCCATAGAAACACAAGTGTGGGCAGCCAAGCAGTAGCCCCTCCAAGCAGTAGCACTGTGGATGTACTAACGTCAACTGGCTCAGCTCCACGAACAACTGGACAGGGGAAAAACTAACCATGAGTAAATAACACACAGTACCACAAATGACACTCAAACACTTCCTTTTATTACATACTAAATTTAAAAATACAAATCTCATTAAAAATGTTTATCAAACATCATATATATATATATATGTATATATATATTTATAAGTACTGTCAAATGCTCCTGGATTGCAACAGTACATACAGTCGCTAAGGTTGATCAGCACAACGTTGCTGATACTAAATTTCAAAGGTCAAACGGGTTACAATTTGGCAACTGTAAGTAGTGACCTGCGCAGGATATCTGCAGAGGTAAAATCTCAAGGAACTAACGGAATCATGCAGAGACTCCTTCGCTGAGTGTTAACAAGTGAATCCTCCTCGTCCTCTTAAATACCATTGTAACAGACATTAAAGTGCATGAGACCCGCAGAATACTTGATTTGGTTGTACCCTAAATACATACTAGGTTGTGGGCTTCAGTTTTCTACATGGTTCCAGAGGCTTTGGAAGTTAATTTTGAAATGGCTAAGGGAAGGGAGGCCAACATTTCTAAATTGCACCAAATGGCCTTAAAGTGTAAAAACATGGAAAATTAAAAGAAATACTAATGGGGGGGTCAGCTAGATTCAAACGAAGTGTCCACCTCTATTTCACCCTAGCAATAAAATTAGAATAAGGATCTAGTTTTGCCTCTGGAAAATGCTTACTAAAATCTTCACAAGTTCAGGTGTGCAGAAAGCACAATACTGCCACCCACTGCTCACACTGGCACTGGGCATTATCAAAACAATGTGGGGACACCTGCCCCCCAAAAGCTCCAATAAACACAGGCAGCAGTGTGTTCACATGTGACACAATGCTAATAACCCTCAAATATGATCTGGAAAAGAGGTCACCATCAAGGAAGAAGAGAAGGAAATCCAGTCTATAAAAGTGCTCCCTTTGCTTCTCAAACCCAACAGCTTAATTTGGGGTAAAACAAGATTGTACAGTTGGGCCAACAGTTCTAAGTAAGCTGATGACGTCATATATACATACTCACAGACATATGTATAAATTTCAATTCTGATTTAAACTAATGCACTAATACAAATCATGTATAGGAAATATTTCATCAATCTTATTTACAAACATAATGAGTGACAGAGGTGTGGAAATTTTAAAATTGCAGGTAACTGTAGTTTGTAGTTCACTAAAAGATGAGATACACTCACATAATTAAAATACAAAATAAAACAAAACTGAGAAAAAAATACCTACCAAATATACCTGTTGGCCACTGGACCTAAGAGGTAAATAAATGTGATGGTCATGATTAAATTTTATCACTATTTTTCTTAATGACTTACCAATATGGGGTCTACTGAGAGTACTACCTAAAAGACACGTTCTCTCCTGACTTGATGAAGATATAATGCTGCTGAATACATTTTCTTGGCTCCCATGGCACATTACACTTGGTAACACTAATAAGGTAGATTTGGGTAACACTTAAATTGTGATTACGAATGTTTAATTGAGTATTTTCCTTTCTGTAGCTGTGAAATGTAAAGCTTAGATTTGCTTCCATCAGGCCTCTTAAACCAAACTTCATCATGGTTAATTGTTGTAATTACAGCACTAAAAAAGAAAAAAAATATGAATGAATTACAATGTGGATCATTTCATTTCTTTTATTATTATGGTGGTTTACTTCTCTTGTCTTTTTCTCTTTTTTTTAAAAGACGTGCCTTGATAGATGTATAGAAATATAGATATACAGATATAGATATATCCCAGGCTGGCCTTGAATTTGCATTTCTTCTACCTCCACCTGCTTTTTACTAAATCACATTTTAGATTACTAGTTTAAAAACAAGGTTCCATACATTACAAGCTACAACGGGCTCAGAAGGTTCAGGTATAAAACTGACATTTACCAGACACTGCACCATTAGCAGGGTGTGAAGTAGAAAATATCGTGATAATCATCACCATTTAATATGTTGTACAATTTACTTTCTTTATGAAACTGACAAACTTCTCTTTCTACTAGAACTAAGCCATGTAGTATGAAACGACTTGATCAACAATAGACTGCACATACAACAGCAGCTCCATGAACCAAAAATGAGCTAAAAAGTTCTTAATTAGGTTGCACTGTCAAAACATCACAGCACAATGTGTTCTTCGTGTGTGATGACAATGGTGCACAGAAACCCACTGTGCTGTCAATCACATGAAAGCAGAGCATACACAAGTGCACACAGTGCCTAACATTTGGCAAAGATGATGTACACCCTGTTACCTGCCTACATACTTATTACACCAACAATTTTCCCCAGGGCTGAAGACTGACTGACTGGACCTTGTTCAGAATAGACAAGCACACAACCACAGAGCTACATCCCCCGCACCTAGATTTTCTGTTACAATTTAGCATATATTCCTCTCCGATTTTTTTAAAAGTAAAATAAAAAGGTTTGCAGTAAAGGCTCTGTGACTCAGGCTTACCCATCTCTTGACTTCATTATGTGACTTGCCTATACTGTCGAATGTGTAAATGTGCTCCACAGTGCTGTGCAACTGCTGAAATGCTCTGTGGCACTTCCCCTGGCTGAGTTGAGTCACTGGCTGTCCGAAAGCACAGCATTCCTCACCCCATCTTTATTCCATCCTCCAAAAGGACATGGATCTACAGCATTATTCAGTAGTATTAGAGCCTCTACTACTGTCAAAATGGGAAATCTTTTAAATACTAATCTGTCAATTCATCTGTTGTACTGACTCATTTCAGCACTACTAATCTTTACATAGAAAAGATAGTAAAGATCTATTTTCAAAAGATTTGTCTTTCACTATCTCTTTTTAATCACTTTAATGCTAAGTAGTAATAAAATAAATAGAACAAGAGAATACTGAAGTGTCAATAAAATTGTTATTATAATAGTTAAATGAACTTTTATGAGAAAAGTTGTTATGTATGAAATCCAAAATTTTACATATGAAATCATAATCCAATTAAGCTTTCAAAATAAAAAATCAAACTAAACACGAATATTCTTGTCTAGAAAAGTGTGTTTCTCACTTAGAAAGCTGATACTCTGAGAATTTAACCCTAAAGGATGAAAGCAATTATTCATTAATATTTTTAAAAAGACCACAGTAAGATAACTTACAGGCTGCGTGAATAATTAATATAAACTTTAAATCTATGTTAACAATTATAAAGTTTCTAATTTTCAAAGATACATTTTAATTACAACATACTCTTTTTTAATGATTTATATTTGGTTTTTGTTTTATGTATGTAAATATTTTAGCTACACAGTACATATTCTGTGTGCAGTACTCACAGAAGCCAGAAGAGGGAGTCTGATCCCTTGGAGCTGGAGTTAACTGACAGCTGTGATGCTGAAACCAAGAGTCCTCTAGGAGAGCTGCTCTCACCAACTGAACCCTCTCTCCAGCCCCACTAGGCATTCTTAAAGTTTTCATTAATTTTTCCACTTCTTTCCTGCCTTAATACTTTTTGGGGGGATCTGAAATAGTCTCCTGTATCCCCAGGTTGCACTCCAACTCTACATTGCTAGAGTTGGGAGCACAAAGGTCCCTGTGCTCACAGGTAATGTCTAGGGAAAACAGGAATGTTAAACACACATTTTTCCACCCAGAAGGCTGGGAATGGAGGTTGCTAATAAACTAGGTGATCCTTGAGCTATCTGTATGGCCAGGAGCTCTCCCAGCCTCCCACACATGGGACCAGAAATGGCTAAGAGTTTAGATGAACTCTGTGCTATCTGTATGACCAGGACCACACCAGATCCTCCCCCAGTCCTTAAGATAACACATGTAGCCTATTTCTGAAACCATCTTCATGGAAGAAGTGGCATGCACTTTGAGAAGAGTTTGCATGTAATTATGCCTCCTTGTGCACACAGGATTGTGTTACACCAGGAAACTTTTTTCCAAATGTACTGCATTTAAGTATGCCTAAAACAAACTTCTCAGTGTCAAGACTCAGAAGTTTGAACCAACACTGGCTATGGAGTCGTGTTGAACTGGATTTTCTTCTTGCCTCACATGGATTGTTACTCTGCTGGCCCTCGTATCTGGCCTTGAACTCCTGATCTTCCTGTCTCCACCTCTCTAGTACTGAGGTCCCAGGCTCTCCACCTGCCCAGTTCATGAAGTGCTGGGGACTGAAACCAGAGCTATGTGTGCCCTAACATGTACTCTAACTGTGCTGCATTGCCAACTGATATGCTTTTTTAATCTGGAAAACTGAAATGGGACCGAAAGAGTTAAGAATTAATAAGCCCACCAAGAATTTTTAATAGTCTGGTTTGAAAGTCATTATACTAGGAAGATAACAATTAATTACATGGTAATAATGAACAAACAGGATCACTTCATGGATAAATCATTCCAAGCACACCCACTATGTTAATGGCTGTGTTCAACTCTGATACAAAGTCTAATAAAGTGTATTAACAATTGTGCACTCATGACTGGATCTTACTCAATAAAAAGGATCCAAAAGAACTAATGATACATCACATATATCCTACAGAGGCTGCAAATGTTGATCAACAGGTGTAAACAGCAATTCTCAGCAACAATGAAGTGACAGGAAGCTTCTCACCTTGTAGGACATTCATCTTTTTTATCAATACATATTGTTTGTCCACGAATATACCATTCACCATCATAATACAGTCTTCCGTCTTCAGATCTAGCACTGTGCAGATGTTTTTCCAGTTTCACGGGTGCTAAAGGGAACAGTTAAATAACTGTTATGTAAATAAGACATTGTCCAAACTTTAAAAGACAACAGAAATCCATGTACATGCGTGTGTAGAAAAGCATGTGAAATATTCTTACATGAGAAATCTAACATGTAATAGAAACAAGAGCAGCTCTTACTTTAGAGTTCACTGTCTAATAGGAACAAAGGTGGACAATGACCTTCACAAAGGTGAAGAAGGTCAGGAAAGTGAGCAGGTACATGAAAGACTAGTCACCAGCACCAGTTTTATGTAGCCCAAAACCACGTGCGTTGTCATGAAACCTCCTTTTCAAATCTCCTCCCATAGAAGGCATATCGTACTTGGAAAGAAGCAAAATCTAAAGGATAATGAGAGGTCCCCAGAATTTCTAATTATCCTAAGTAGAACTTGCATTTCCAACCCTCAAAAATGGTTCTGCATTAGTAGATAAACTATTGCAGGGAAAACATGTTCCTATGTAAACATGTAGTCAGAATCACATCACGTAGTAGCTGCACCTTCATCATTCAGCTGTTACCTCTCAGAAAATCATCATCATAACTTCACTTGGACTTCATAATAACTATCATCAACTGGGACTAACTTACTTACTTACATACATAGTATTCCACCTTCTAAAAGGAGCCTCCAAATTTATTTCTTTCCCCATTGTCTCCCTTCAAGAACCTAAAATAGTCTCTGGTATGTAGAAGGTAGTGAATAAGTATACATGCATTTGTTTTTAGTCATTCATTCATTACATGTCTGAGCCCATACCATACACAAGGAACCGTGCTGGGTGCTGAGGAAAACACAAGTAACCAAAGAGATATGGTACCAGCCTTTGTAGAGCTTATGCTCTGGTCAGGGGACAGATAAACAAGAAGATAATTAATTTAATTTAAAAGTACCAATGGGAGCCGGCAGTGTTAGCACACACCTTTAATCCCAGCACTTGGAGGCAGGCAGATCTCTGTGAGTTCGAGGCCAGCCTGGTTTACAAGAGCTAGTTCCAGGACAGCCTCCAAAGCCACAGAGAAACCCTGTCTCCGGGGAAAAAAAAAGTACCAATGGGACCAGTGAGATGGCACAGCAGGTAAACATACATGCTGTGCAAGCCTGATGACCTGAGTTTGATGCTTCATTCTCAAAACCCCCAATGGAAGGAAGGAACCAACTCCTAAAGGTTGTCCTCTGATCTCCACACGTGTACCATGGAATGCATGTGATCACACACACAAACACATGTCCCACATGAACATCAACAATAAACTTTTCTTTAAAAAGAACTGTGGAATTTATCATTCTTAAAATAAATGTACAAGTGGAGGTAAACATTATGAATAAAAGTAGTAGAACGTTAAGCTAAAATCAAGCTAGAAGAGAGCCATTCGACTGGGTAGTGGGGATCTAATCGATGAGGGACTGAGAAGACGGCTCCCTTGCTGCACAAGTGTGAAGACCAGAACCCACAGAAAAGCCAGGCAGGCACAGCAGTCACCTGTAATCCCAGCACAGGGAGCAGAGACAAGGGATCCCCAGGGTGTTCAGAGCAGCTAGACTTGCTAGAATCAGAATTCTATTTAACAAGAAGTCTTATATCAATAAATTAAATAGAGAACCATCAAGGATAAATTTCTAGCCTCTACATATACACACCCATGCACCCACACACATCTCTTTACACATGTGAACATGCATACACCTCTCTCTCTCTCTCTCTCTCTCTCTCTCACACACACACACACACACACACACACACACACACACACACACACACACACACACACACCAAGAAAAATCAAAGACCCAAAAATCATTCTAAAGATTCAGGCATCTGTCCCCTCCCGTTAAGGGCAGTATAAAGATACAGCACTGCTACAATTTACTGATATGAAATAAAGTTTAAGGTCATCACTAAAAAACAATTGAAACTTTCTTAAAGATAAATACCTCTAAAGATGCTTTAGAAATGAAACAAGAAATTCTCTTCCTTACTATTTAAAACATGCTTTTTTTTAAAAGCTAACCCTTTAAAGGATTATAAAAATCTACCCAAAAAAAGCAGAAATAGACACCAATATTCATCACAACTTTGGCAGCTATCTTAAGAGTTGAAAACAACAAAAGCATATATAATTCTAGCACTAGCATTCAGGAGACAGAGACAAACAAATCATAACTTCCAGGCCAGCCAAGGCTACTTAGCAAAGCCCTGTCTCAAAACACAACATGAAAATCTCAGTGGCAGACAAATCTCTCAGTATTCCACTGTCAGAATTCTAGTCTCTGCTGATGGGGAGGAAAAAGCATTCCTAAGAAATTTAATAGACAACTCCAGAGACTCTGAACTCCCTGAAACCAATTCATGAGTTCCAAATACTTCACCTAAAGAAGTAATGGCCCAATTTAAAAAAAAAAATGGGTAAATACATCTTGAATTACAGATGTAATATCGTAAAAATGATATGGCTTAACAATGAAAGCATTGGAAACTTTCAAGCTTTTTCATGACGTAGGAGACTCTAGAGTTCCTTGTAAGGTCTGTTATAGAGTTTGCTGATTCATGGAACCAGTGATGTGTAGCTCCTCAATACACAGGGCATTTAACCACTCAGTTCAACAACTCTCCACAGAGAGGATGTCACAACTCATGACTTACGTTCTGTCTTAACTCGGTGTGGACCCAATGTAGCCATTGCCTTAGAAAAAAGAGGGGAAGAGGGGAGAAATCTGAGTTCAGACTGGAAATGCATTTTGCTATCTATAATATATACAACACTCTTGATTGGCTCAGTGATTGGTTGAGTAACAGAATAAGATGTAAATGCTAGCTGCTCTCATTTTCTTCTGGTGCTGGGGGAAGAACCCAAGGCATCGTGCACGCTAAGCAAACACGCTAGGCAAGAACGCTAGAACTGAGAGGCATGCCCAGCCTCCAGACTGATGGTCTCCAAAGTCTCAGAGAAAACCTTCTCCCATAGGTATTATTAACAGTTGAAATGTTTTCTCAGGATAATCCATAAAAATTGAAATTTTTAATAAGGAAAGCAAGCCTCAAGCCAGGTCTGGTGGCACAGGTTTGTAACCCAGATCCCAAGAAGGCCAAGGCGGGAGGCTCACAAGTTCAAAGACTATGGGGGCTACAAAGTGAACTCTAGGGCAGTCTGAGCAAAATAAAAAATAAAACTGGTAATAGAAATAAGTAAAAAAGTGGCAAGATACATAGTTCCATTCTTAAACAAGCATCAGAATCCATTCATGCCTTGATAGTTATTAATAGAATATAAGACACTCAAAGTTGAATGTATTCACTCAACAAATATTTACTGAGTGCCTCCTATAGAGCAAAAACAGACACATCTCTAAACCCAAATACTCCAGGGTAAACTAAACATACGTAATTCCATATTATTTTATAAATTACTAATTACTTTATTAACAGGAAAAATATACATGACAAACATGTCTCTAATTCTTAAAATATTCTAAGCCTACTACAAAGCAAAGTATATTTACAATGATTATATTTTTATATATTGATGAACAAACTCTTAAAAGGTAAACTCTTGAACCATTCATTAATCATACCTTCCTAATTGTTGTCCAGTCCTCAAGAATATCAAGATCCTGCAGCATATAAACTATATATGGACGTTGAGAGGTCAAGGTCAACTCAGCAGTGAGAATATCACACACTTCAGAGCCCAGTGTGGTGCACACTCTGTGAATTGATACAAGAGGACTATGGGTTCAAGGCCAGCCTGGGCTACATATAAGACCTTGTCTCAAAAACAACAAAAAGCACCCATAAAAACTAATCACACTGTATTATAAACAACTGTTCCCCTCAGTCCTGTGAACTGGACACTGACAATTTTCAAAGCTGAGGTGATGACTGGAGTTTCTCTTCCACCCTCCCCTCTAAGGCAATAATCTACCTCTGGCTTCAGTCCTTTGTAAGTACCATGTGCTTGTTGCGGACAGTCCGCGTAAGACAGCGTGTGCTGAAGTAACGAAGACATGCACAATGTGAGAGCCCAGAAACTGTGGGAAAGGATATCTGAAACGACGACCGGCTTCTTTTTGTCGGGGCTGAAAGGGTCCTTCCTCTTTTTCCTTGACTGGAGTTCATCATTCCACAGCTCTGCAAGAAACCAAAGTGTGAGCTGATTCCGGGGGCCACAGGAAGAAAGAGGAGTACACAATTTCATATTTGCTGCTTATGTAAGCACAAAACTGTACAAAACACCAAGGAAGCTATACAGAGGTAGTTTGTTTTCTTTTTTACATTTATCTACGTATTCATTGGGGGTGTTGTGTAGGTACGCACAATTGCACACCACAGCACACATGTGGAGGCAACTAGTAAGAGTGGGTTCTCCTCCCACCACATGGGTGCTGGGGATCGAATTCAGGGTGCTGGCCTTGGGGGCAAGCACCTTTACCCACTGAGCCACCTCGCCAGCCCTGAGGTACCTGTTCTTTTCACTCCACTTTTCCACACAAGGGCATCAATGTAGAAAAACTAAGCAACTGTCCACAGACACCCAACTCACAAGCAAGGGAACACCACACTGATCTCATCAAATCTGCCCCAACTACAGCAGAAAAGCAAAATGCAAACCACAAAAACAAGACATACTCAAGAACTGTAGGCCAACCTGGTAAAACATCTATCAGTGCACAATAGAAAACTTCTCTATCATCACCCTGAAATGGCCACATTTCGACTGCCCTGATCTAACAATCAGGGTGGTATTTCCTTTCTCCAAGGCAAATCCGCTCTCCTGGAAGAACACGGGGCTGTCTTCCAGTACAGTCGAGGTAGCTCCTGTCATACTCTGTTCTGTCCCTTTTCCTATGCTGTACATCTTTTTACATCTTTCTAGACAACCTCAGCCTGACCATTCTTGAGAAGTCTCCTCCCCGTCCCTCTGGTAGGACACTATATTTACACGTAGCATTAACACGAGAAGACTGCGGCTTTATGGAACATCACCATCACGCTGCGGCCCTGACCTGAGGTAATGTCGATGCTGTGCCTGTCCTCCTCAAGCCTTCTTATCTTCTCCTCAAGCTCACTCTGGACTGTATCATATAACAAAAGCTTTTCACTCTGGAAAGAAACATGATACTTAAGTGAAAAGGAAGAAAACACCAGTTCATCTTAACTAACAACACCAAACGATTTAGAGTCCTTTAATATATGGTGGTTGTGTTAGCTTTTTTATCTTAATTATTTTTACCGCCACAGTTCTGAGGACTGAGTAAGGGTGCTAGGTAAGTGCTCTGCCACTGAGCTATGTCCTCAGCCCCACAATTTAAAATTTTAAAGAGGAAATGTTCAATATATAAAAGAAATAAAACCAGAGAACAGTTATGAACAGACTTAACTAAGTAAAATAACATCCTGCTTAAGAATATCTAAATTGGAGCCAGGGAGACGGCTCAAGCGCTTGCTGCTCTTGCAGAGGACCCCATGTTTAGTTCCCAGCATCTATGTGGTGGCTCACAACCAACTGTAACTCTAGTTCCAGGGGATTTGATGACCTCTTCTGACTTTCATGGGCATGCACACACACATAGACAGACAGACAGACAGACAGACAGACAGACAGACAGACAGACACACACACACACACACACGAGTAAAAACAAAAATAAAATTTTTAAAATTAAATAAAATAGATTATATTGGATTTTTACTATCTATACATCGTATTAAATACAGCAATATATGGCAAAAATATTTAGGTAAAATGTTACAGCCATTTAAAGTAACTCAATAAAATAATAAATTTCAGTTAGATTTCAGTTAGAATACACCTAAGCAATAGACTGAAAGAGAAAATTGACATGTTAACTGAATTATAAAATTATAGATTAATTATATCATATTTACTTGCTAAAACAAACAAGATAAGGGTAAGAATACAGCCTAGTGGGAGAAAACTTACCTAGCATATTAAAGGTTCTATGTCCTTAGCACCACAAAAAAATAAATAAAAATAAAAACATGAATAAAATAGACAAAAAGCAAAATAAATAAACAGACAAATAACCAATGGGGGCTAGAGAGTTGGCTCAGCAATTAAGAACACTGACTTGTTAGCCGGGCGTTGGTGGCGCACGCCTTTAATCCCAGCACTCGGGAGGCAGAGGCAGGCGAATCTCTGTGAGTTCGAGACCAGCCTGGTCTACAGAGCTAGTTCCAGGACAGCCTCCAAAGCCACAGAGAAACCCTGTCTCAAAAAAACCAAAAAGTAAAAAAAGAAAAAAAAAGAGCACTGACTGTTATTTCAGAGGATCCAAATTGAATTCCTAACACCCACACAGCAGCTCACAACCAATTGTTTGTAACTCCACTTCCAAGGGTCCAGCACCTTCTTCTTGCCTCCAGGCACTAGGCATGCAGGTGGTACACATGCAGGCAAAATATCCATATGCGTAAAAATAAATATGTAATTTTAAAAAATAGAAAATAAATAAAGCTCAGGCTACAACGTCTAGTACATTGGTTTTGGTTCTTTTTATAAAAGTCACAAAATGTACACAAATGTAATACAAAGGGCCTTTTCATACAAAGCCTATAATGCTAGGCATGGTAGACAAGGCCTGTAATCCCAGTTTCATGGATGGCCGAGGCAGTAGGATCCCAAGTTCAAGTGCTATCTGGACTCCACACTGAACTCAAGGTCAGCCTGGGTAACTTAGTGAGATTCTATCACAGAGTAAAGGACGGCTATGTCAGTAGCAGGCACTTGCCCGGAATGTATTAAGACCCTAAGTTCAATCTCCAGTACAAAGGTGGAAAGGGTACAAACCTCTAATAGAGTCACAACCCACCCACCACAAGATAAGATGAAATAAATAAGGATGCTGCAGATATGACTGTCTTATAAATCTACTGTAATGGATAGAACTTCTTGTGGGGGAAGGTGGGGAAGGCCACATTCCCGTAGGTAGCATGCCCGTATGTCAATCATGAGCTCTTCTGATACAGATTTAAACTTTAATCTGCACATACCTGAAGATTATCCTTATGGAAGGGAAAAGACAAGAGTTAAGAGACAGCAGTGTGTCTATGGCCAGACTACACTGAATTTGCCGCATCTAATCTAAATTCAGAGGCTCCGGTGTGGTTAGTGCCTGCCCTGATAGGAGAGTGAGAGCTAAAGCAGAACAAAAGTCTGATGAAAAATCATACCAGCAGATGCAAGAAAGAGGGCAAGAGGGCAGTGGGATGGATAAAAGTATACAATACCAAAATATGAAAATATAATGAAACCCGTTGCTTTGTACACTAACATACTTAATAAAACACTAACAGTCGGGGCTGGGGACATGGCATAGTGAGTAAAATACTTGTCACATAAGCACAAGGACCCCAATTGGGAACCCCAGCATGCACTTAAAAAACCAGGTCTAGTAGTATGCTCCTTGTGGCAGTTTGAATGTAACTGGCCCCCAAAAGCTTGTAAAGAGTGGCACTATTAGAAAGCTTTGATAGAGTAGATATGGCCTTGCTGGAGGAAGTATGCCTCTGTGGAGGTACACTTAGATCTTACATATGCTCAAGTCACATATAGTGACTTAGTTCACTTCCTGCTGCCTGAACAAGGTGTAGAACTCTCAGCCACCTCTCCACCACCATGTCTGCCTGGATGCCACCATGTCCCACCAGGATGATAATGAACTGAACCTCAGCCACCCAATTAAATGTCTTCCTTTGTAAGAGTTGCCATGGTCATGGTGTCTCTTCACTGCAATAGAAACCCTAAGACGCTCCTGTAATCACAGTGCTGGAGATACAAAGACAGGGCAATTCCAGGGCTTGCTGGCCAGGCAGTCTAGCCAACTTAGCTAATTCTAGGCTCAGTAAGAGACCCTGTCTCCAAAAGTGAAGTGGAGAATAACTGAGGAAGACAGCAGATGTCAACCTCTGGCCTCTACACCTACACGAACACACATGCACATGTAGCCATGAATGTACACATACAAATATGTACACACACACACACACAAAATAAATATGTATTAGGGTGCAAATAATTATCTCACTGCATGCTGCTCCCAATCCTTCCTTTTGCTTGTTCCTCTGACTTATGAAAAGTCTTCTGAAATATTCCAACTATATCTGCATTGTGCTACAGGAATTAGGAAGTTACAGAAAAAAGAGAAATAGGCCTCCTCAACAGACAAGCCTCATGGCTGCTGTAAGCAGATCCAGTTTCTCCAAGCAAAGATGACTTACATAAATAACTAAAGTGATAAGGAAGTTATATTGGTATTTGGGGTTCTTTGGGTTTTCTTGTTTTGTTTTTGCTTTATACTGGTAAACTTGCTCTAGGCAAAGCAGAAATTCTCTAAGTCCAGTAAACCATTCTTCACAATTTGTTTTACAAATCCACAAGAAACTGAAATGTTTAAAGCTTTCATATTAGATATACACAGTAGAGTGTGTGTGCGGGGTCGAGGTGGGGAGAGGAATGCAGCCCAGTTGGTAAAAGTGCTAGTCTAGCATGCATAAGGCCCTGGGTTCTACTCTTAGGACCTTATAAACAGGCATGATGGCACACACCTCTAACCTCAGTCCTGGGAGTTCAAGGCCAGCCTGATCAACATAGTGAGTTCCAAGCCAGTCAAGGTTACATAGTAGGAGCCTGTCTTCCAAAAAAAAAAAAAAAAAAAAAAAAGACAAAAGCTTAACCCTGGATACATGAGACCCTGTTTCAGAAAAGATACAAATTACAGAATGAAATGCCTTGAATCTATTCTCATTTCAGCCCCTCCCTGAACTAGCCACTTTTCTCAATGTTGTGGCAACTACGCATCTGGGAAAAGAAAGTTAGGAAAGAATAGTTTATTCTGGCTTACAGTCTAAGGGGTTACAGCCTACCAGCCTGAGGCACTGGGCACATCATCCAGTCAAGAAGTAGAGAAATAATGCTAGTGCCCAATTTGCTTCCTCCTTATTGGCTACAGGACTCTAAACTGCGCCTCATTTAAACAGCCTCACAGACATGCATGGCAGTCTGTTTCTAAATATAGGAAGTTGACAATGAGGACTAATCTTCACACCGTCCTTTCACAGAGACTTTCTCCTTGCTTTCCAACCCTGCAAGGCCCTCAGACACTTCCCCAAAAAGAGGGAGAAGAAATCATACTTGAGCAGCCAGGACACCTGCAAAAAAAAAAAAAAAAAAAAAAAAAAAAGACACACAAACTCTTTGTTTGGGTACCTGCAGTGACTGCTCTGTTCAGTGGATGGTTTTGTCTTTTAACATTACTGATGAGGAGCCCGTCCCTCCATTCTCACACTGAGACTCACTACCTATTCACTGGTCCTTCCCCAGGCTGACATGCACGCTATTCTCACTAGGGCAGGTCTAAGGAATCCCAGGATACTGACCCCACGGTTCCATTTTTGTACTAACTTCACACTGGCCTGTGTTCAGAATAAACTTCCCTGTGCTAGCTTCTGGTCTTAAGCACCTCACAGTTCTCAGCCGCCTTCAGGACTGGAGCCCTGAGACACTCTGAAGGAGCAGCGCTATCAGTGAGTGACACCGCAGTAACCAGGATTGGTGGTGCATACCTGTAATTCCAGGACTTAGGAGGCGAAGGCAGGAAGACCAGGAGTTCAAGGCTACATAAGTGACTTTAAGGCCAGCTAGGCTACATGAAACCTTGTCTCAATAATACCTTAGGCTGGCAAGATGCCTCAGCAGTTAAAGACACTTGTGCTACAAGCCTATCGACTTAAAATTCAATCCCCAGCACCCAGGTAAAAGCAGAAGGAAAGATCTGACTCTACAAAGTTGTTCTCTGACCTCTACATGCACACCATGGCACATGCACCCACATATATCATGCAAACATGCATAAACTAATATGCAAAAAAAGCACTGAAATAGAAAACAAAAACAGAACAGACCTTTAAACCTTAGGCCCCAGCTATGGGAAAATCCTAATAGTAAACTTTCAAATCTACTGCAAATACAATGGCTATGGATGATGACAGGAAAACAAGTTTAACTGTATCTACAGGACTACAGGTATTGCTCAGTGATACGTGGTATGCACAAGTTACTGGTGTCACCTTTCAGCCTAGCA